GTCAGAATCCACTTGACGGTGATGAGTAACCAGTGTTGAACTCGGTGGCACATAAAACAAGACTGTATGCTTCCTTTCTCTCCTTTGGATTTTTTAACTCTAGGTCTTTGCATATTCCATTATAATACTTTACTTTGTATTCTTGAGCCACCTTTTGAAATCTTCTGTTCAGATCTTTTACTTCATCATTTCTTCCATTTACTTTAGCTATTTGTGGTAGTTAAGGTTGTGTGTCAACTTGGTTGAGACTGGTTGAGGGGCTGAGCAGCTGGTGGTAGTTATTCCCCATGATGAGACTACCAATCAACTCCATGGTGGGATCTACCACAAGCAGCTGAGTAGCTGCTTTAGAGATGTGGTCTGCTTCTCATATATAAGAACCAGCTTTGGGAATGGTCTCTAGCTTATGGCACGCTTGAACCCTGCGTGTAGCCATGTCATTGTTCAGCAGCCTGCTGTGCTCTGCTGACCTTGGGACTTTCAATGGACTTGAATTAATGGCCTACTGTGTGGTTTGGTAACATCAGGACTGTGCCTTTTTACTTGTCAGCTTTGGGCTTGTCAGTCTCAGCAGCCAGCAGCTGTCTGAGTGAAGAAAAGCCTGCAGCTTCAGTGGGCCAAGAGCAGGAGGCAGAGCTGAAGCTGAGTGAAGGGAGTTGAGGGGACTTCACCAAACCCCAAGAGCCTGGAACTTTGAACTCAGACTTAAAGCCTCCAAATTGTAAGAGAATAAACTCTTATTTGTTTAAGCATCCCTTTTGTGGTATACTCTTGTCAGAGTGACACTAGGTACCCTGAATACTACTCTACACTCAAGAGCAAGTTTCAGAATTTTTCCTTTCTGTCCTGTCTTTTTAAATTATGTATGATGTTTTTGAAATCATCCAACAAATCGTCTGGTCTTCAGTCATTCATGTTTAATGTGTCAAATCTATTCCTCAGATGGTCTCTAAATTCAGGTGGGATATACTCAAGGTTGTATTTTGGCTCTCATGGACTTGTATTATTAATACAAGTCTTAAGGTTTGACTTAAACTTAAGTATGAGCAACTGATGGTCTGTTCCACAGCTGGCCCCTCGTATTGTTCTGACTGATGATATTGAGCTTCTCCATCATCTCTTTCTACAGATGTTTGTTGTTGTTGTAATATGCCATCGAGTTGACCCCAATTTATAGCAACCCTTCCTTAGGTATCTGAGGCAGTATCACTACGAAAGTAGGTTGCCCAGCCTTCCTTCCGAGGAGTGGCTGGTGGGTTTGAACCAACAGCCTTCTGGTTAGCCATCAAGTGCCTTAGACACTATGCTACCAGAGCTCCCCCTTCTACAGTTGTAGTCAATTTTATTCCTCTGTATTCTACTGAGGTCCACATATATAGTTGATGTTTATGTTGTTTTAAAAAGTTATTTTCAATGAATAAGTAATTGGTCTTGCAAAATTCTATCATGTAATCTCTGGCATCGTTCATTTCTATCACCAAGTCCATATTTTCCAACTACCAATGCTTCATCTTTGTTTCCAATTTTTGCATTCCAATCACCAGTAATTATCAATGCAACTTGATTCCATGTTTAGTCAATTTCAGACTGTAGAAGTTGGTCAACATCTTCAATTTCTTCATCTTTGGCTTTGGTGGTTAGTGTTTAAATTTGAATATTAGTAGTGTTAACTGATCTATTCTTGGCTGAAAGCAAATAATACCAAAATATGTTTACCTGCATCTTATTGACCTTCCAAAGGCTTTTGACTGTGTGGATCATAACAGATTATAGATAACATTGCAAAGAATGGGAATTCCAGACACTTAATTTTACTCATGCGAAATCCATACACAGAGATAGAGGCAGTCATTCAAATAGAACAAGGGGATACTGCATGGTTTAAAATCAGGAAAGGTGTGCATCAGGACCATATCCTTTCTCAATACTTATTCAGTCTATTTGCTGAGCAAACAATCTGAGAAACTAGACTATGTGAAGAAAAAAATGGTATCAAGAATGAAGATGACTCATTAAAAACCTGTGATATGCCTATGACACAACCATTCTTGTGTAGTGAAGAAGACTTAAGCACTTGCTGATGAAGATTAAAGACTGCAACCTTCAGTATGGAGTTCACACCAACATATAGAAAATAAAAATCCTCACAAGTAGACCAATAAACAGTATGATCATAATATTGAAGTTTTCAAAGATTTCATTTTACTTAGATCCACAGTCAATGACATGGAAGCAGCAGTCAAGAAATCAAATGATATACTGCATTGGGCAAATCTGTTGCAGAAGACCTCTTTAATGTGTTAAAGAGCAAAGATGTCACTTTGAAGACTAAGGTGCACCTGATTCAAACCATGGTCTTCTCAATTGCTTCAAATGTATATGAAATCTGGGCATGAATAAGGAAGACCACAAAAGAATTGATGCATTTGAATTGTGGTGTCAATAAAGAATATTGAATGTACCATAAATTGCTAGCAGAATGAACAAACCTGTCTTGGAAGAAGTACAGCTGAAATGGAGGCAAGGATGGTAAGACTTCACCTCTTGTAATCTGGAAACGTTGTCAGGAGGGACCAGTTCCCAGAGAAGGACATGATGCATGGTAAAGTAGATGGTCGGTGAAAAAGAAGAAGACCATCACTGAGATGGATTGACGCTGTGGCTAAAACAATAGGCTCAAGCATAATAACAATTGTGAGGATGGTGCAGGACTGGGTAGTGTTTCATTCTGTTGTACATGAGGTTGCTATGAGTCAAAACCAACTTGACAACATGTAACAACAACATGCTTTCTTTCAGACTGAGAATATGGCCAATAATTGTTTCTCCCCTACAGAACAGCCACCTGCAGGAGAAGTACATCCAGCAGCTCATGAATCTCTCTTTTGGACAGAATCCCAACTAGCCTCCAATTTCTTCAGGTTCCACCTCAGCCCCCAGATACCTCCTCCAAGACTGTATTTCCAGTCATCTTTAACTTCTGGGACAGACCAACACCATGTTTTGTGGTTAACTCCTTGTCACACAACAATCATGAACTCATAAGTTTGCCACAAAAATTCCTCTGAGATGGAGGCCACCATC